GCCTGGGGGGCTCCTGCTCCGACACATACCCCCCCACTTTGATCCTGGCATCCGTGGTGTGGCCGTGCCTGTTCCAACGCGGGCGGGGCTGTGCCACTTCTGACACGAACCCCCCGACTTTAATACTGGCGTCGGAGGAATGGCCGTGACGATTTGCCGCCGGTACCGGGGCGACGACCTCGGAGACGTGCTGCCCCACGTTGATGCTGGCGTCTGAAACGTGGCCGTAGACGCTGGGCGCGGGGGGCTGGGGCTCTTGTTCCAGCACGAATGCCCCAACCTTGAAATGGGCACTGGAGGGGTGGTCCCGGATATCCACGGCCGGGATACGACCAACCTTGCTGTTGGCATCAGAGGCATCCTCACGAGAGCTGTGCCGAGGGTCAATGCTCTCCGCTTCTGGGGCTTTGCCGTCCAGTTTCCTTTCGGCACGGGCAGCGTGTGGAATGGACTGCCGACCCTCGGGAGTAAGAACAGCCCCTGTGACCGACTCATGATCCCCTGGCTCAGGATCAACCAGCTCCTCCTTGGACAACCCCAGTGCACAGAGCTGTGGATCCACAGGCTTCCTACCCTGGTGAGCCTCACGTCCATGGCTGCTGCCCTCTCTGTTGGCTAGGGGTGTCGTACTCTCACTGGGTCTGGACGCGCCCTCTTCCAACGTTCCCTCTCTGCCGTGAACTGGCTGCGCCGACTCTGGGCTGGCTGCTCCCGTGTGGACGTCTGGACCGACGGTCCCTTCGGAAGCCGGCAGCCCCTGGCTGAGCCGTGCTCGACGCGCCCCCTGATCCGGCGCGGCTCCGGGTCCCTGGGTCTGCTCCCCGAGCTGCACGGAGGCCTGGGAGGGGTGACCATGAGAACTCCGCTGGGGACGCGATAGCCCCACCTCCGAGGCGTACTGCCCCAGGGGGATGCTGGAGTCGGAGGGCTGGCCATGGGAACTGGGCCTCGGCAGCACCTCCTCTACTTCGGACACGTTTTCCCCCACCCGGATATGGGCCGTAGAGGGGTGGCCGTAAATATGGGGCCTGTGTGGGCACAGGGCTTGCTCCCTGTTGGTCTCCCCCTGCCCCAGGTTGGGGCTCCCCCGGGGGGGCGTCTCCTCGGCCTGTAAGAAGCTGAAGGGGCTGCTGAAATCATAATCCTGGACCGGGGCAGGGCCAACAGCAGCACCGGCCAGAAGGTCAGACTCGATGCGCAGAAGAGCTGCGTCCAGGGCGTGGTTCCGGCTGTGGCCCCTGTCCTGGGCGGGGCGTGCTCTGGGGAGGAAATCGTCGAGGTCCAGCTCTTCCGAGATCAGGGGTTCGCCTCCCAGGGATGGCAGGGGGGCGGCTGGGGAGGAGGAGGGTGCAGGAGCCCCTGGCGTCTCGGGAGAGGTGTCCGTATCCTGGCTCTCACTGCCTGGCAGCCCCTGCTCTCTCTGGTCCTGGTCACCTTGCCCTGGGAGAAGAGGTGCCTAGAGGGACGCAGGGCATCACAAACTTTTCAGACTGAAGGATTTGTGAATAAAGCCCGATTTTCAAATAAGTACAGGTTTCCCTCGCCAACAGTGGGGTTGCTAATCACAGATTTCCCCCATACGCAGTTTCCATATTAATTACCAGCCCTAATTAATTAATAACCATCTGGGTGTATTTCTCTCATTAGCACATAGGTGTGATTCTGGTGCTCTCTTAACGTAATCCGATTATTTTTCAATTTTTAACTCTGAGGGTTCAAGGTAAATAACATTCTACTTTATTATGAATTCGATGTTTTCCTTCATGTTGAATTATAATTCACGGTATTGTATTTGTAATTTTAAGGGAGAACTCTGCCAGTTAGGTTAGTTGAAGAGAGT